GGCTGAGCTTCTCTGCCCTAGGAGCCTGGGATGGAGGTGGGGAGCTTCCTTCCGGGTGCTGGGACTGGCTCACCTTCTCTGCCCTAGGAGCCTGGGATGGAGGCGGGGAGCTTCCTTCCAGGTCCTGGGCTGGATTTTGCTTCTTAATCCACTCTGTCTGTAATAGTCTAAAGTATACTGTGGTCAAGCTGCACATCTGACTTGTTGCAGTACCAGTCATATAAAACCCCATACAATTATGCACAATAAATGATACCTGATAATGCTAATAAATGGCTGTACCACCTTGATCTGCATAGGTACATTTTATTATGTTTGCACAGTGATGAAATCACCTAATGATGCATTTATCAGAATGTGTGTCCATTCTAAAACAGAGTCAACTTAGATACACAGACCTTTGGCCTCCACATTAAGATCCCCAGGGTAAGCCAGGTTCAGTGGCACACACCTGTAATCCCAGGTACTCTAGAGGCGGAAGCAGAAGGATCCCAAGTTCAAGGCCACCCAGGAGAACTTAGCAAGACTGCCATGAAATAATTTTTTTTTTTAAAGTAGACTGCTTGCCTAGCATGCATTAGGCCATGGGTCATGGGTCAATAAAGCAATGGGTCAGTTCTAAAGAAAAAAGGCCATGTTGCTATATTGTTTGAGCTTCTACTACCATTTCTTTCTGCTATAAATGTTATTATCAATGATCTTATCTTTGATATTCTATTCAACTTACTTAAGCTTATTAAAAATATTGCAAAAATAAATTCCAAACAAAGATTTGACGAATTCTATTATTAGCTATTAACCTGAACTCTAATTTATCTATGCAGGGTCTCCTTCATGTTTGTTTGCTTCTGAGTTCTTTTTTTTTCAGTACCAAGGATCGAACTCAGGACCTTGTGCTTGCAAGGCAGGCACAGCGCCACTGAGCTAAATCCCCAGCCCTATTCTGAGTTCTTGATAGTTTGGGTTTCTGGGTAAGTGATGCTGGAAAAGTCTACAAAATTTCTGAGATTTCTGTATTTTTCTTTAAGTCTACTCTGTGTGTCACACAAAATTTCCTTATGATAAAGTGTTTGTAATCATCACAGGGACTTAAAATGATACAAAGAAGACTTCTGACACTTTACACCAGAGCTTTTCAAACTTTACTGTACATGCACATCAGCTGGAATCATGTGAAAAATGAAGATTTGATCCAGTAGGTCTGAGGTTGTGTCCAAGAGTCTCCATTTCTCATCAGCTGGCAGGGGATGTCAAGTCTGCTAGCTGCCCATATTGCACTTTGAGTAGCAAGGATCTGGTACAAGTACGTCTTTTTTTCTTTCTCCTTCTATTTCTAAATTCTCTCATTCTCTTGCTTTTTCCTTTTTTCATATTATACTTTTTTTTTTTTTGCCTTACACCTGCCAAGAGTAACCATAGTAACTAGTCCTTGAAGATGGACTAGTCCTATATATGGACTCCCATCTATAACTTAAGATATAAAAATCACAATGCAGCCATGTGTGGTGTTACATGCCTGGAATCTCAGCACTTAGGAGGCTGAGGCAGGAGGATTGCTGCGAGTTCAAGGCCAGTCTGGAATACAAAGCTAGACCCTATCTCAAAAGGGTCTAAAAAGAAAGAAAGAAAGAAAGATCATGATGCAGTAGAATCAAAGTACTATCAGTCATAAACTTCTTCTAAATGTGATCAAAAATAATATAATTAATATAGATGACATGAATTTTAGAATGTGTTATTATTTTGGCAGATTTCTTAGCAATTAAATACTTTCAAAAAAACTTATAATTTTAAGTTTCATAGTAGGAAGTCAGAACTTGTTAGCTATATTAAGATTCTATAACATCTCAAGTGAGTGTAGTGGCACATGCCTGTAATCCCAGAACTCTGGGAAGCTGAGTCAGGAGAACTGCAAGTTCAAGACCAGCCTCAGCTACATAGCAAGACCATCTCAAAAAAAAAAAAAAAAATCAATAACATTCCCATGAAGTGAACTGTTAATTATGAAGATGGCACTACTAATCCATACAATCTGTCAAAATTATATATATTTGAGTCTATTCTGAAAGTATAAGAAAATTTACTATCAAAGACTCCTAATTCTCAAGGGATCATCTTTCTAGTAAACTAGTATTAAAACTATATATACTTTATGATCTTATATAAATTTCACTTATAGTTGTATTATGTTAGTTCTTTTCAAATGGCTCATAATTGTCTTCGGAATTGCTAGATTTTGGATGAGCCCTTTAATACAATAAATGCTAGCATTCACACAGTAACTGAAATGTTCTTGTAAAGAGACTCTCAGATTTCAATGTGCTTAACTGACAAACGCCAGTGACCGTTCACAGCAGGGAAACCTGAGGCGCATCCAGGTTATGCAACCAAGAGTATTCAGCAACAGAATCTGAAACCCTTGACTTCCTTTTAGATACAGGAACTAATGCTTCACATAAAATTTACATAAAATAGTTGCTTCTCAGTAACACTTAGAAATATGGTTTATATAATGTTAGTTTCTTGCCAATATAGTTAAAGATACATTTGGAAGTGGAATCCAGTTCTGCAATACCGGTATTCACACAAGGAAATTGAAACAGCTAATTCCACTCCATCAAACGAGACAACAGTGTATTCTAGTGGTCAAAGGAGAGTATAATCAAAAATGTCTTGGGGATCTAAAGTCAAAACACCTAAAAACCTAGAAGCTAATAAGAAAATTTTATAAGTATTATATGAGCTATTGTAGAATTAAAAGATCAAGATGAAAATGAAGATCTAAAACAAAAAATATTACCCAAAAGCTCCAGTCACCACTCCAGCTATGTAAATGTGGTCCCTGTTTTTTAGCTGACACTGTATTATTCTCATCCACAGCTGGCCTAAGATTTTCCTCCAGCTCTTCCTGTAACTCAGTGGCAAGGCTTGAATCTCCTTCGTTTATTACCTGGAAACAAGCATCAGACAATTTAAATTATTAAGAAATGCCCATTTTAAAAACAAAAGAATAAAACATATAAATTACTTTTTAAAGGAAAATGTTTAAGCTTTTAGAAGACAGATATTACTGTTTTTGTTTCTATAATTCATCTATACATGTAACAAAGAGCTGCCAATTACTACTGCCTATTAGGTAGTTTAATTGACATTAGAGATACAAAAATGAATAAAACAAAATTTTTAGCCTACAGAAGATCACATTGTAAACATCATAAAAATACGATGTGGTAGGAGTGTCAGTTGGTACAATCACTTTGGAGAACAACCTGAAATGCCTAGTAGAGTCTAAGATGGGCATATGCTACAGTCCAGCAAATTAATACGCACATGGAGTCAAGGATGTTTGTAATACTGGTAAAAGTGGAAACTGCTCTGTCCATCAATAGAAGAAGTAGTAAATACAAACAATGAAGTTAAAAGTGAGTGAAACTAAGGCTGGGGATGTAGCTCAGTGGCACCGCGCTTGCCTCACAAGCACAAGGTCCTGAGTCCAATCCCTCATACTGCAAAAAAAAAAGAGAATGAATCAGATGTCTCATCCAGGCACTGGCTTCCAGTCTACATACTGCTCAGGGCAATGATTAGACTTTATGTTAGATATGAGACCATTGGGTGGCTGCTTATAAAAAGAGCTGTTGTTAAGGAACTGAAAGAAAAGAGAGGGCAGGAAGCACCATTACAAGAGCACATGGCTCACCAGAACCCCTAAATATCTCTGCTACAGGGGCTGCTGCCACCTTTGCCTCTGCTGTAAGCAGGACCCTGATCCTCAGCGATCCAGGGAAGAGCACGCACGGCACCTGCAATGCAGCAAAGGAGTAAATTGACCCAACTTGAGCTCAGGCTTCTTAAACCTATGAAGAAACCATAGAGGTGGGGAAGACTCTAACCCTGGTGATGCTGATTTGAGGCTCTTCTGAGGAAGAAATTTGTAAATATGACTGGGGAGAAAGGACCTCTTTCATACCATGTACATCCAGTAATCTCCCAAAAGAGGAGGAAGAAACAAACCGGGGTAGAGGAAGAGGAAACAAACAAAATAGAGGTCATAATTAAACCTAGTTAGATGTATATTTATTAAAATAATTTATACACCAAGAGATAAAAAAATTGACTTTTGTGCCTCTATAACATAGACTCTGAATTAATTTCAGCATCTGCTGGAATGCATAAATTGGCAAATCTTCATGGCAGTAATATTGGAACTTAAATTACAGTTATTTCACCTATAATGTTAAGGGAGTTATTTCACATAAAATAACAAAAGTTAACTGGGCCAGTGGTGCATGGCTGTAATCCCAGCACCTGGGAGGCTAAGGAAGAGGATCACTGAAAAGTTCTATGCCAACCTGGACTACATAGTGGGTGCAAGGCCAGCCTGAACTACATAGAGAGACTCTGTCTCCAAAAAAAGACAAACAATAAATAATAACAAAACTTGTAAGGCATACTTCACCTTAAGCATCAAAACTATTGCCTTGTCTAAATTCTCCATGATGATAATCTAGATTATCCTAAAATACCCAGAGTACCCATGGATACTCTGAACAAATGAATAACAAAATTAAATCAAGTCTCTGGAGTTTACAAATTGCCTTTTAAAAAAGTGAGATCCTACCCCTCAGAACCACCATCCCCAACCCCAAATTAAAATTACATGGCACACCGTAAAAGAAGGGTTATCCCTTCTGCTTTTCAATTTAACAGCCCAATGTGGCCTGACAGACTTGGAGAGAATGAGTGGTGCCTCAGGGTTGGTTTCTGCAATTTTGATGTGACAGGAGCCATTAAAGGCCCTATATCCAACACTACTAAAATCACTGACTGTTTAATCAGTAGGTCATAAATATTTTGTTATTATAGGTTAAGCTATGCTCTGTTTCTTGCCTCTTTCAACACCTACAGTATGCCTTCACCTCCAGCTGACATCATATACATTTACCTGGCTACTCAAAGAGTACCTCGGCAGCTTTGCTAACTTTACAGGCAAGATCATCAATGAGGCAAATCTGGGTCTTCCAGCACATTTGCCACAGGATGGCATGGCCTCGCCTGTTCTCATCACCTTGGCAGGTGCCATGTTTCTGGAACAGGTCATCCCTCTCCTGAACCTTTGTCAAGTTGGGTTCACCTGAGTGAACAGCAATGGGATGTGAATACTTAATGGACAGCATCAGGCATAACCATTACGTGTGATGGAGCTCTCTGGAAAACTGATGCTTTTCATCCCCTAACCAGGATGTCCCTGATAAAGGACAGGATCCAAAGGTCAGCACACCTGGCTGACCTTCAGGAATCATCTTAACACTAAATGTTCTGGCCAACAACTGGCTCCATCCTACACTTTTACAAATTTTTAGATCACTGCCTGAGAGTTGATCTGATTGGAGTAAAGAACTCTCACACACCCTTATTTCAAAGATACTCAAGACTATAAATCAAGGTCAAGTACGTGTTTACATATACCAAAGGCATAATACAAGGCCTTACCAAAACACTTCTTAATCTCTTTACAGCCCCAGATACTACCAACAGTAATAAAAATTTACTCATTTCTCAAAATACAATTTCAGCTCTTGAACAATGTTTTCAATGGAACTTTCATCTTCCTTACTAGTTTAGGCTGAAAGCCTCAGAGAGAGTCACAAATGGCTTTCTTAAATAAATTCAAATGAAATTAAATGAAACCTGGGGATTTAGCTCAGTGGCACAGCGCCTGCCTCGAAAGCTCAAGATCCTGAGTTCGAGCCCTGGTACTGGAAATAAAGGGGAAAAAAAAGAACCCCCCCACAATTAAATAAAAAATAGTACATTTCAATCATTCATTATTGAATTATAATAAGAAGACTGATTCAATTTTTAACCTTTGCTTGCAGACAGCTTTTTAAATTTCACTCCTCTCTTTTCCTCTTCTGGGCAAGTTGGAAATGAGGCCGAGGTGCTCTTTTCTTTGGTGTGGGTGGGGCACTCACACCAAGCAACCCTGGTCCATTCACAGAAATTCTCACCCAGTTCCCGCTCCCTGATCACAATAAAAACAGCAAAAGTCAGTCTCCTACAATTCTGGATTTCTGGGGTGGCTACAACACATATTAGCTCAATTATTAGCTGTGTATTCCTTGGAAAAGTCACTTAACCACTCTAAAATCCATCTCCTCAACTCTACAGTTGGGGCAATTATTTTCTCTAATCACGGGATTAGTTTGCTGAGAACAGGGATCCTGTGTTGCTCCTACTTTACATTGAACAACTCGTGCCAGGGACATAGTTAAATAAATGATTGGCTGGGTTCATGAATATCTATCTTGCCTATTTCAGAGTAGTATTCTGAGAATCAATTAAAATAATACATTTATTCATTGGTATGCTTTAACAATTATTTGAATGCCTTTACCCTTCAGTAAACTAATACTAACAAGGTATTGCACTGATTGCAGTTTTCTAAAAGTAAATACATCCACACAAGCAATGTAAATGTAATGCAGACAGTGTTAAGAAACAGCCTGACCCAGTTCTTTTTCCAGACTGGATCCCAAGGTGAAAGCAGCCTTCACAAGAACTTACAATAAGGAGGCCCACCTCACCCCATATTCACTTCAGGTAATAAAGACACCAAGATCCAGTACGGGCCCGATGCTGGATTCCGACTACAATGAAGAGTTACATGAAGATGACTCCCAGTCTGATGAGAAGGACCAAGATGCTACAGAGACTGATGCTATGATCAAGAAAAAAACAAAATCTTCAAAGCCCTCAAAAGCAGAAAAAGATAAGGAGTCCAAAAAAGGAAAAGGAAAAAGTTTGAAGAAATGAAACTATTTCACTACCAACAGCCATGTCTTACTCACCTCCTGACCAGTCTCACTGTTTTTCCAGAGGAACAACATTTGGCATTACGGAATGACCTGGAGACTCCTTTGTACAGGGCGGTACAGCTAGCAGGATGTAACGGGAAGGCTCACGTGCACCTCTTATAGAGGTTGAGAGACTGCTTTGGTCCTCCACCGTCGCCTGCCAAACTAATTCGATTGTGCTTCGAAATGACTGTTATCTCATTATATCTAGAAACTACATATGGGCTTTGCAGTCAGATTTTAGTTCGCAGTAACAAACCCAGGAGCACTGGTACTAAGGCATCTTTTTTTACAGGCTGAAGAAGTTACCCTCATGGCCTGTATTGGACCAATGCTGATTTTTTTAAAAGGTAGTTATTATGTGGTGAAATTTTGTAAATAAGTCATAATACAAAACAGTCATCACTAGAACTGGGTATTCTTTGTACATTGTCAAATATCTTGCAAAGAATAAATTAGGAATAAAAATGTTCCACATGTCAAAACTTTTTTAAAGATTATCATCTTGTACAGCTAAATGCCATGTTGGTATATCACTTATTAATTTGCAGGTGATTGGATTAAAAAGCTGATGGTTCCTTACTTTAAAAAAAAGAAAGAAAAAAAGAAACAGCCCTGAAACAAAAGGTTTTCACCCTGAAGATTAGCAGCGAGTTTTTCCATTTTATCAAATAAAGTAATAAACAAAAGGCGAAGTCATTGAAACTCAAAACCTGGTTGACAGCACAGGGATTTGAACTACCTGGGTCCTTTTATCAAGGACTAATGGTGCAGGGCAAGGAGTGACGCTGGGGAAAACACGACACCAGGTCGGAATCGCAGGAATGGAGCCGGATCCGGGAGCCTGGGACTGAAGTCTCTGCAGGAGAGCAGCTCCGGAGCAACTCCGGCGCCCGACGCCTCCAGAGCAGTTTCCCCATCGCCCAGAGGGAAGGCTCGCGGGAAGCGCCGGAAACCGTTTCCGTGGTACCAAAGAGCAGCAAGAGAAAGGGAACCGAGGAACCGATTACCATAATCTGACAAGGTTCAAACAACAATCGAGAGGAAAACTGCCCAGTAAAGCCACCGCTTGGGTGCCCTCGCTGGGGACTCTGCTTACCTGGCGGATGGCGTGAGCGCCCTCCATCGTGGCCCCACCGCGCCCTGGCCGCCGCGACCCCCACACCCCAACCCCGGCGCAGGGAGGGGCAGCGAACTGCTTCGGCTCGGCTCGGGAGCTCGCGCGGGCGTCCGTCGGCCGTCAGAGTACTACCTGGTACTCTGGGTCCTGCTGTGGCGTCTTGCACCCTCTGCCGGCATCTGAGTGTCCTTGCCCTTCACTAACTGAAGATGGTTAATCAGGATCTAAAACAAAATTAATGTTATGCTCCGCGGGGTTATAGGGATCAGGATGATCCTTATATCCCAACTTCAAACTCCTGAGCCTACAATGCAATGCACACTTTCTCCAAAGCGAGGAAAACTGAACTGCATAGTAGGTATTGAAGTTACTCATAAAAAGTTGAATATTGTGAGTCCTTGATTCTCAAAAAATAGCTATAAAAGAACAATTGAAGAAGACTGAATAGGATGTGTATATTAGAGTTGATGTTATGAAATAATTTAGTGGCCCATGAATTAATGCATGGATATTTATTGGTGGATAATTAATAATTTGTGGTTGTGTTAGTGAATGTTGTTAACAAATTTGCTCTGAGTTATTTAGGAGTGTCATGTGCTAACTTGCTTTCAGATGCTTCAAAAATGATAAGTATATGAAGAGAGCAAAAATACCAAAACGATAACGATAACTGCATCTAAGCAGAGAATATACCGCTCTTGGGTAATTTTTTTTTTACTATTTTAATATTTTTGAAAATAACCACAACGTTGAAGAAAGGGGAAGAGTTGAATCTAGTTCTACAAAAAGTCAGATACTGTGTGTATTTTTTAAATATATTTTACATAGTAAAGGACAAATTATCTAATGGCATAATCCATCTTTTTTTTTTTCTTTTTTTTTTTTTGGTACCGGGGATTGAACTCGGGACCTTGCGCTTGCTTGAGAGACAGGCGCCGGAACCACTGAGCTAAATCCCTGGCCCCTAATGGCATAATCCATAAAGGACAGGCTTCTGCCCTACAAAACTTTGAATAAACTATTCTCTGTTAAACACAAGAAATTTCACAGATCCCAGTATTAAACAAGGCCTTGCTCACTCTATGACTATGAGACAAAAACAAGTCCACTGGGTAATTATGTCTAAATACAAACAAAAACATGACCGTACCTCAACCCACAAAAAAATGACTAAATATCCCCAGGCTGGCTAATGTGAATGATGACTCCTACATTCCCTGTTTTAGCTTTAGCTTCACTTTATTCCCCTGCTTCTAGATAAAATTTATTAAGATGCTCAATCATACAATGAACACAACTTCTTGACAATTATCTACTCCAGGACAAAAGCTCATTTCTTAAGTCCTCCCTTCAAAATCACTGAACACAAAACCAAATCCTATGGTAAGTCCTTTCTAACACCTTTTCACTGTGATGCTCTCATAGTTCTTCACGGAGTGCCTTCACCCTAATTGCAATGAGTCAAGCCTAGTGTTGTTTAAGTACGGGTATTATTGCAGGTGGCCTTTGACTGAGGGCCACTGATATTTTTCAGTGAAATAGAATGTAAGATGGAAGTGAATGTGGAAGAAAAGCTGTTGGAGGTCTCCTGCCTCGCAGGACAGGGACTGCTTGCTCCTTGGCTCTTGGGGGCTACAACATCGCAAAAGATAGATGTTCACCAGGAAACAGTCACCACTTCCTGATTCTCTTCAGTTTTCTTTCCCTCTCCCTCCTGCCCAAACTGGCTTAGAGCCCTGCGGTGAGGAAGGCCTTAAAAACTCGAGGTGAGAACATAGTAAGGTGTTCTCGCTGGCAGCCTACAGCCCGTGGACCCAAGGCCTCTTCTGGAACTTTTCTCCTCACCCCTTCCCCAGCTGCCTCATTAGAAGTAATTACTGGCATGCTCAGGGATCCCCTGAGGCACTGCTGTGATTCCTCAAAATCCTGCTCCCCTTCTTCTGGTTATACTTTGCAGTATCAAGATAAAGAGGAGGTTGTCTTATGGATGAATACTGTTGGGCCCTACCACAATCACCAAGAAACATACAAATACTTTTCACTTCCATTCTGTGTTGAGTCAAAAAAAAAGTATCAGTCACTACCATGAAACTCTGGGAGAAGCACTTCAAGGAGTTGAATTGGAATTTAGTGGCCTGGATATAAAATTTAAAGATGATGTTATGCCAGCTACTTACTGTGAAATTGACTTAGATAAAGAAAAGAGAGATGCATTTGTGTATGCTATCAAAAATCACTATTGGTATCAGATGTACATAGACAACTTACCTATATGGGGTATTGTTGGTGAAGCAGATAAAAATGGAGAAAAATAACTACAATCTTTGGATCTATAAAAAGCTTGAGGGGCCAGGGATTTAGCTCAGTGGTGCCACCACCTGACTCACAAGCACAAGGTCCTGAGTTGGATCCTAGGTACAAAAAAAAAATTGAAATACATTTTAATGGTAATGGAATTGTTGATGTTAATCTAACTAGTGTAGAAAAGGTGAAGCCGGTTTTAAATACTAAAATACAGATGTATTCAGTAAAGTAGAAAAAGTCAGATGTAAAATTTGAAGATCGATTTAACAAATATCTTGATCCATCCTTTTTCAACATAAGATTCATTGGTTTTCAGTTTTCAGTTCATTCATTGTAATCTTCTTGGTGGGCTTAGTTTCAGTGATTTTAATGAGAAATTTAAGGAAAGATTATGCTCCGTACAGTAAAGAAGAAATGGATGATATGGATAGAGACCTAGGAGATGAGTATGGATGGAAGCAGGTGCATGGAGTTGTATTTCGACCGTCAAGTCACCCATTGATATTTTCCTCTCCTCTCATTTGCTCTGGATGTGAGATATTCACTGTGTCTCTCATTGTTATTATTATTGTGATGATAGAAGATTAATATACAGAGGGAGAATCAATGCTCAGTACAGCCATAATTGTCTATGCTGCTACATTTCCAGTGAATGGTTATTTTGGAGGGAGTCTGTATGCTAGACAAGGACAACGGAGATGGATAAAGCAGATGTTTATTGAGGCATTTCTTATCCCAGCTATGGTGTGTGGCACTGCCTTCTTCATCAATTTTATAGCCATTTACTATCATACTTCAAGAGCCATTCTTTTTGGAACAATGGTGGCTGTTTGAACAAAACATAACCTTTTTGTTGTTGTTGTTGTTATTTTTTCCTCTAAATCTTGTTGGTACAATACTTGGCTGAAATCTGTCAGGTCAGCTCAACTTCCCTTGTCGTGTCATTGCTGTGCCTCATCCTATACTGTAGAAAAACTGGTTTATAGAGCCTGCAATTATTGTTTGTCTGGGAGGAATTTTACCTTTTGGCTCAATCTTTATGGAAATGTATTTCATCTTCACATCTTTCTGGGCATATAAGATCTATTATGTCTATGGCTTCATGATGCTGGTGCTGGTCATCTTGTGCATTGTGACCATCTGTGTGACCATCATGTGTACTTCCTGCTAAATGCAGAGGATTATAGGTAGCAATGGACAAGTTTTCTGTCTGTTTCATCAACTGCAATTTATGTTTATATGTATTCCTTTTACTACTATTTTTTCAAAACAAAGATGTATGGCTTGCTTCAAACATCATTTTACTTTGAATATATGGTGGTATTTAGCACAGCCTTGGGGATAATGTGTGGGGCAATTGATTACATGGGAACAAGTGTCTTTGTCTGAAAAATCTATACTAATGTGAAAATTGGCTACAGACCCAAGAAAACCTGGGATTTCAGATCAATTTCTCTTTCAAAGGGGTGGAACTCACACAACAAAAAAGTGCAAGAAGAGATTTGGGCTTAACACTGGGTACTTTGTGGATGTCTCTTTCATGGACGGCTTAAAGTAACATCTATATCCATTGATCCTAGGCTCTTACTGACTGCTTTCTCCAACTGTTCACAGCAAATGCTTGGATTTATGCAGTAGGCATTACTATAGTACATGACTAATCTTCCCCAAAACTAGCTCATTAAAGATGAAATAGACCAGTTCTCTTCATTGAAGAGGACAAATTGTTTATTGAACACATTTGTTCCAATAAAATAAATAGGAGGAAACTTGGATGCTGAAATTTTACATGAATAGAAATCTTCCTGCACTTAGTGTTTCTATGTTATCGAAAAATGATGTTCCAGAAAGATGACTTTTTTCCTCTTATTTTTACTACCATTGTCAACCTAATGTGGGACATTTTTATATGTTGAATCTGGGTTCCTTTTTACCATTTTTTAAACAAATTCATCCTTTTTAAAAATATTAAAAATATTAAATCCTGCATGTAAATATCTACTGGCATCTTAGTTATACAAACTTCCCATTTGTTTATCTTATAATTATCCATTCATATCTTAATTCCATCCAAAGAAGACAGAGTCTGAGGATAGAGATGTACTCTCTACAATGCAGTTAACTCTACAGTTAGAAAGCAAAAAAAAGTTAAATGGAGAAGATATTTGTTTTTATTAAACATCTTGAGATTTAGATAAACTACATTTTAACTGAATGTCTGCCGTGATTATCAATTTTCCCCCAAGTTAGTCTTACATCTTTCTTGGGTTTGAATCAAGGCATTACATAAGACATTAAAAACAAGGGCAGGTGGATAATCAATGTATATAACATTAAATAGTAGGTGTGGATTCCCAAATGCATTTGGATGCACAGATTGACTGAGGAGTACTTTTTTGATGATGATTGGTGTAGAAATGTGTGAATTTGGGTGGCTTTTTAACATCTTGCCTACCATTGCTTGAAACACTGCGGTTTCCTCAAATGTGTGTGTCATACATCTTTTGGGAAGGGGGCTGTTTTCTTCTGTTTCTTTTCTGAAGCTCCTACAGGAGCTAAATTTGTAATTTAAAAGGCAAAAGATTTATATGATCTGAAGAGAAACCAGAGTATCTAAATTTGTAATTTAGAAGCATTAATTTTGTTAACCCTGTCTGGAGCACTTAAGTAACATCTAAAGCATTACTGCTTTAGAATATTCAAATAAAATTTCCTGATTTAAAAAAAAGAAAAGTAAAGTTGTTGGAAGTTTTAGGAGAAAGAAGAAATCTGTAGGAAAAT